TTATCATGCCCAGCCGACAGCACAGGTCCCTGCTTTAGACGGGGAGGATGAAATGGCATGCTCTGCAGCAAACAAAGACCTGCTCCAACCACCTGCGGTACAGGAAGGAAGGCAGACAGGAACATGCCCATAATTGTCTCAGCTTCTGTTAGCAAAGACTGAGGGTGCATTCTAGTTTCTTTCTCTCTCATTTCCTGCATTAATGTCTCTTGTATTTAGCTCATTTTCTTTCCCCGAGACAAAAGTTTCAATCTTGTGGCCCAGGCTAGAGTGCAACCTGCAATCTTGGCTCACTGCAATCTCTGCCTCTTGAGTTCAAGCGATTCTCCTGCCTCAGCCTCCTGAGTAGCTGGAATCACAGGTGCCCACCACCACACCCAGATAATTTTTTTTTTTTTTTTGAGACAGAGTCTTTTTCCGTTGCCCAGGCTGGAGTGCAGTGGTGCAATCTGGGCTCACTGCAACCTCCACCTCCCAGGTTCAGGCGATTCTCCTATCTCAGCCTCCTGAGTAGCTGGGATTACAGGCATGCGCCACCACACCCAGCTAATTTTTGTATTTTTAGTAGAGACGGGGTTTCAACATGTTAGTCAATCTGGTCTTAAACTTCTACCACAGGTGATCTACCTGCCTCAGCCTCCCAAAGTGCTGGGATTACAGGCATGAGCCACGAAGCCCGGCCTAGCGGATTTTTTGTAGTGAAACATTTCAATTCCCTTATTTCCTTTTTTTTTTCTTCTTCTTCAGACGGACTCTCGCTCTTGTCACCCAGGCTGGAGTGCAATGGCGTGATCTTGGCTCACTGCAACCTCCACCTCCCGAGTTCAAGCGATTCTCCTGTCTCAGCCTCCTGAGTAACTGGGATTACAGGTGCCTGCCACCACGCCTGGCTAATCTTTACTATTTTTAGTAGAGACAGAGTTTTACCATGTTGGCCAGGCTGGTCTCGAACTCCTGACCTCAAGTGATCCACCCGCCTTGGCCTCCCAAAGTGCTGGGATTATAGGCATGCGCCACAGCACCCGGCCTCCCTTATTTCCTTTTTTATAAATTCTGTAACTATTTTCTGTGAGGTTACCATGGGTGTTAAACATCCTCTTCAACCACTATGCAGATGAAAAGTGTCACAAGCCATTGTCTAAAAAAGATTTCCACTGAGTACAGGACAAAACACCATAAAGGCTTAGAGTCTACTGGAATGTGTCCACTTTTATTAAAGTAACTAAGCCTAATCTAGATTTTTCTGAAATAGGGTAACCCTGTCCTGCATTTTCCCATAACTTTCACTTGGCAGAAAAGGCTCCACCCGACATGTTCTCAACTTTTGAGATTTTGTTTTCAGGCTGGGCACGGTGACTCAGGCCTGTAATCCCAGCACTCTGGGAGGCTGCGGTAGACGGATCACTTGAGTTCAGGAGACCAGTCTGGGCAACTCCGTCTGTATTTAAAAAAAAAAAAAAAAAAGATTTTGTTTTGAATAATCTCTGAATATCCCAATTGTTAAGAGAATATAAAAAGATATAACTAGAAATACAATTCTTTTTACTTCTAACGTCTACTATACTTCACTCTAGATTCAATACCCAAGAATAACTTTTTCACAATACATAGCATTACGTAAATACTTCCACTTATTTGTTTCTAAAATCTGTCTCCCAACATTTAGCTATCTTAAAAAGGAAAGTTCTGTTCTAAAGAAGGGGATACTGCGAATGTTCCTTCAAATGATGACTCTAGAACAAGAGCATGTCACCGCCACTCTTTACAGAGCTAAATGGTTCAGGCTGCAGAATTCTAAGGTGAAGAAGTCATCCTACTTGATCCTCTACCACAGAAGATGGGAGTCCAGGTTTCCAAGGCCAACTCCAGTATTTAACAAGAGACAAACATAATTTGTACCAAAGAAAGTTCTGGCCTAGCCTCTGACATGGACTACAAAATGAAATACACAGCAAGAGACAGACCTGACAACATGAATACATAGCCTCTTGGTAACTTAGGTTTCCCTATTTATAAGAAAGTAAGACCAGAATGCTTCTTGGGGAAGTTGAAAAACTGGTGAGATACAGTTATATCCACAGAAACTCTTTTCTCCCCTCAAGACGGAGTCTTGCTCTGTCACCCAGAGCTGGAGTGCAATGACATGATCTCAGTTCACTGCAACCTCCACCTGCCGAGTTCAAGCAATTCTCCTGCCTCAGTTTCCCAAGTAGCTGGGATTATAGGCGCCTGCCACTGCGTCCAGCTAATTTTTGCTTTTTTTTTTTTTTTTTTTTTTTTTTACAGGCAAGAGTCTCTTGTCACCCAGGCTGGAGTGCAGCAGTGTGATCTTGGCTCATTGTAACCTCCGCCTCCCGGGTTCTAGTAATTCTCCTGCCTCAGCCTCCCGAGTGGCTGGGACTACAGGCGCACGCCGCCATGCCCAATTAACTTTCTGTATTTTCTTTTTTAGTAGACACGAGGTTTCACACTGTTGCCCAGGCTGGTCTCAAACTCCTGAGCTCAGGCAGTCCACCTGCCTTGGCCTCACAAAGCGCTAGGATTACAAGCGTGAGCCACTACGCCCCAATTTTTGTATTTTTAGTAAAGACGTGGTTTCACCATGTTGGCCAGGCTGATCTCGAACTCCTGACCTCATGATACACCCGCCTCGGCCTCTCAAAGTGCTGGGATTACAGGTGTGAGCCACCGTGCCCAGCCCAGAAACTCTTAAAGACCTTTTCTTAAATTCAAAATAACTTTTTAAATCAATTTCAAAAGAAGAGTGTTTTAATTCCTCTTCTTTTGAAGAAGAGAAATTCAACAATCTGAGAAATTCAACGAGATCTAATGCTGTCAATGAGAGCCTAACCTTATATACGCTAGTGGGGAAAAAAAAAATGGCCTTGTCTGAAACACCTTTCACTTGTCAATGGTTACTTTAACTCAGTTAAAACTACAAAGGTAGTTTGAAAGAAGGTTTGAGTGCTAATTCCTAACCTATTTCTAGGCAGTCACCAATGATTAACACTTTTTTTTTTTTTTTTTTTGAGACAGTCTCACTCTGTCACCCAGGCTGGAGTCCAGGCGCGCAATCTGGGCTTGCTGCAACCTCCATCTCCTGGGTTTGAGTGATTCCCCTCCCTCAGCCTCCGGAGTAGCTGGGATAACAGGCGCACGCCACCACACACGGTTAATTTTGGTATTTTTAGTAGAGACAGTGTTTCACCATGTTGGTCAGGCTAGTCTTGAACTCCTGACCTCGTGATTCGCCCGCCTGGGCCTCCCAAAGTGCTGGGATTACAGGTGTCAGCCACTGTGTGGCCACATTTTATTTTTCTTTTTTTTTTTTTTCTTTTCTTTTTTTTTTTTTTGAGACGGAGTCTTGCTCTGTGCCCAGGCTGGAGTGCAGTGGCCGGATCTCAGCTCACCGCAAGCTCCGCCTCCCGGGTTTACGCCATTCTCCTGCCTCAGCCTCCCGAGTAGCTGGGACTACAGGCGCCGCCACCACGCCCGGCTAGTTTTTTGTATTTTTTAGTAGAGACGGGGTTTCACCGGGTTAGCCAGGATGGTCTCGATCTCCTGACCTCGTGATCCGCCCGTCTCGGCCTCCCAAAGTGCTGGGATTACAGGCTTGAGCCACCGCGCCCGGCCCACATTTTATTTTTCAAAGGAGTCAAAGGTTTCTTGGCCAGGCAAGGTAGCTCAGGGCTGTAATCCTAACAATTTGGGACCCCAAGGCAAGAGGATCCCTCGAGCTCAGAGACCAGCCTGTGCAACGTTTGACCAGGAGTCAACGTTTCCTAAGTTTCTCCTGGACCCTATATTCATTCCACTCATCTCCAGGTTGGGAAACACAGAGGCACCAGGAGGGCCCCTGAATGGAGAGCTGATGGGACCACCAGAGAAGAGCCTTGTGCGCAAGTGTTAGGTTATCCTGGAGACCCATCTGTCTGCGTGAGACAGAGTCTCATTCTGTCGCCCAGGCCGGAGTCCAGTGACGCCACCTCGGCTCACCATGTTGGCCGGGCTGGTCTTGAACTCCTGACCTCAGGTGATCCACCCGCCTCGGCCTCCCAAAGTGCTGAGATGACAGGCGTGAGCCACTGCGCCCGGCCGACAATTTTAATTTCAGGTAAAAAGTGAAATCAACATCATTTACAACATTCCTCTTAAAGAGGAATTGTCAAGTTTTCCTTCCAAGCAAGGAGCAAAGCCGGCAAGTTACTGTTTTCATTTTCCTAGGTCCTCTGGTGCGGAGGGAGCTCTGTAACGTCCCCGTCTGCAGAGCTGCTCTCTTCAGTGACTCATGACAAGGCACTTGCTGGGAAGTGGGAGAGCAGGAGGAGAGAATCAGAGGGAGATTAGGGTAAGAGGTGTCCCTGGCTCTGAGAGGGGCAGGACTGGCTGCGAGTCCCTGGAATTAGACCAGGAAGTCTCCTGGAGCCGGGAAACGCGAGGGGAAGGAGGGCGGTTTCTCTTCGCCACAGTCCATTCTCCCTGCAGAAAGGCTCGGCCTTTCCCTGCCCAGGGCGGGGAACCGGGGTCGCAAGTCCTCCGGGGACGGACAGGGACGGGAAGAAGCCGAGGGGGTGAAAGTCCCCGAGCGGGACCCAGCCACTGCAGAGAAAGCCCCGGCGAAAGAAGGGAAAGGGGCCGAGTCGCGGGGCCGGCAGGCCCGCCTCCCCCACAGGCCGCGGCCGGCAAATCTGCTGCCTCATCCCGGCGTCCCCGCTCCCGCCCGGCCGCCGCACTCACGATGCTCTCGGCCATGGCGGCCGCTCCTGCCTCCGGGCTGGAGCCCCGGGCCGCCGCCGCCTGCCGCCCCAAGGGCCTCGCAGACCCGGCCGCGGCCTCAGCCCCGGCCCCGGCCTCTCTACGCCGCCGCCACCGCCGCTCCAGCTTCGCCCGCCCGGCTCCACCAGCCGCCGACGTCCCCGTGCCTCGCTCAATACGCTCCCCGCGGGCGCGCGGCCGGGAAACCAGGTTCCGGCCCCACCAACTGCCCAACGCATGCGCAGAGCGGCGCCGCTGACCCGCCGCGCATCCCTGTAACTAGAGGAGGGGATTTTGGAAAGATGCCTCTGCGATGACTTATGCTCGTCCTCGGAAACCCAAGCGGTACTGAAAAGCCCAAAAAGGAGGCAAAGACGAGCATCCGAAATCTCACCCAAAAATAACTACTGCTGCGTATTGTAGCGTATTATAATAGGGGAAACAGCATTCCGAACTTCTCTCCACGCGCAAGTAAGTAGAGAAACAATTTCAGGAAGGGAGGATCGCAACTTCATGTTATTTTTTAAAGTATTTTTTAAATTTAACATAAGAAAAACAAGTGAGTTTAAACTGCATTTCAGGCCAGGCACAGTGGCTCATGCCTGTAATCCCAGCATTTTAGGAGGCCAAGGTGGACGGATCACCTGAGGTCAAAAGTTGGAGACCAGCCTGGCCAAAATAGTGAAAACCCCGTCCCTACTCAAAATACAAGATTAGGCCATACGCGGTGGCTCACGCCTGTAATCCCAGCACTTTCGGAGGCCAAGGCAGGTGGATCACCTAAGGTCAGGAGTTCGAGACCAGCCTGACCAACATGGTGAAACCCCGTCTCTACTAAAAATACAAAAATTAACCGGGCGTGGTGGCACGTACCTGTAGTCCCAGCTACTCAGGAGTCTGAGGCCAGACAATCTCTTGAAGCCGAGAGGCGAAGGTTGGAATGAGCCAAGTTGGTGCCACTGCACTCCAACCTGGTCGACAGAGTGAGACTTCATCTCAAAACAAACAAACAAACAAACAGAGACATCACTTCACAGATTCTAAGGATTTTAGGAATTGGATGCCAGGAAACTGAAAGAACAAATATATACCTATTTCACAACATCACAATTACCTTGAGGGCTTTTTTAAACTATGTTAAATTATGTTAATTGAGGCCAGGCATGGTGGCTCACTTTGGGAGACCAAGGAGGGAAGATTACAACGTCAGGAGATCTAGACCATCCTGGCTAACACTGTGAAACCCCATCTCTACTGAAAAATACAAAAAAAATTAGCCAGGCGTGGTGGCAGACGCCTGTAGTCCCAGCTACTCGGGAGGCTGAGGCAGAAGGGTGTGAACCCGTGGGGCAGAGCTTGCAGTGAGCCAAGATAGTGCCACTGCACTCCAGCCTGAGCAACAGAGCGAGACACCGTCTCAAAAAAAAAAAAAAAAAAAAGTTATTTGATTAAATTATGTTAGTAATTGTATTAGTTTGCTAAGGGTGCCATTGTAACTGCCCAACAGGTTGTCCTTGCCCACTGCCTAGACTTTATCAAGACAGGGGAATTGCAATAAAGAGTTTAATTCACACAGAGCTGGCTTGTACGGGTTACTGAGGTTTTATTACTACTCAAAAAAATCAGCGTCCTCAAGAATTTGGGGATTAGAGTTTTGCTTGTTTTTTGTGTTTTTTTGTTTTTTTGTTTTTGAGACTGAATCACTCTATCACCCAGGCTGGAGTGCAGTGGTGCGATCTCAGCTCACTGCAACCTCCACCTCCTGGGTTCCAGCGATTCTTCTGCCTCAGCCTCCCGGGTAACTGGGACTACAGGCGCACACTACCATGCCTGGCTAATTTTGTATTTTTAGTAGAGATGGGTTTTCTCAATGTTGGTCAGGCTGGTCTCGAACTCCCGACCTCAGGTGATCCGCCCTCCTGGGCCTCCCCAAAGTGCTGGGACTACAGCTGTGAGTCACTGTGCCCAACTGGGGATTGGCATTTTTAAGGATAATTTGGTGGGTATGGGGTCAGAAAGTAGGGAGTGTTGATTGGTTGTGTCAGAGATGAAATGATAGGGAGTCAAAACTGTCCTCTTGTGCTGAGTTAGTTCCTGGGTGGGGGCCACAAGATATGAGCCAGTCTGGGTGGTGCCAGCTGATCCATGGAGTGCAGAGTCTGCAAAATATCTCAAGCACTGTTTTTATAATAGCGATGTTATCCTGAGGAGCAATTTGGGAGGTTTAGAATCTTGTAGCCTCCAGCTACATGACTCCTAAACCATAATTTCTAATCTTCTTTTTTTTTTTTTGAGATGGAGTCTCGCTCTGTCGCCCAGGCTGGAGTGCAGTGGCACTATCTCGGCTCACTGCAAGCTCCGCCTCCCGGGTTCACGCCATTCTCCTGCCTCAGCCTCCTGACTAACTGGGACTACAAGGCGTGAGCCACCGCGCCCAGCTAATTTTTGTATTTTTAGTAGAGACAGGGTTTCACTATATTGGTCAGGCTGGTCTTGAACTCCTAAGCCCATGATCCGCCCACCTTGGCCTCCCAAAGTGCTGGGATTACAGGCATGAGCCACTGTGCCCAGCCATCCCCATCTTTCAAATACAGCTGTTTGTCTAAAAAAAATAAAATAAAGGCCGGGCGTGGTGCCTCTTGCCTGTAATCCCAGCACTTTGGGAGGCCCAGGCAGGTGAATCGTGAGGTCAGGAGTTTGAGACCAACATGGTAAAACCCCGTCTCTACTAAAAATACAAAAATTAGCCGGGCGTGGTAGCACGTGCCTATAATCCCAGCTACTAAGGAGGCTGAGGCAGGAGAATCGCTTGAACCTGGGAGGCAGAGGTTGCAGTGAGCTGAGATCGCACCACTGCACTCCAGCTTTGGCGACAGGGCAAAACTCTGTCTCAGAAAAATTAATTAATTAGTTAATAATAACATAAAAAAAAATAAATAAAAATGTGGCTGGGCACAGTGGCTCATGTCTGTAATCCCAGCACTTTGGGAGGCCGAGGTAAGTGGATCACCTGAGATCAGGAGTTCAAGACCAGCCTGGCCAACATGGCAAAACCCCATCTCCACTAAAAATACAAAAAATTGGCTGGGTGTGGTGGCGTGCACCTGTAATCCAAGCTACTCAAGAGGCTGAGGCAGGAGAATCATTTGAACCCAGGAGGCAGAGGTTGCAGTGAGCCAAGATCGTGCCACTGCACTCCAGCCTGGGTGACAGAGCGAGATTCCGTCTCAAAAAAAAGAACTTCATTCTTTTATGCCCAAATCATATTGTTCTGTGGGAAGCTAGTAGGGAGACATGAAGCAAGAACACAAACAACTACCAAGTGAAGCAAAGTCAAGCACCTTGTAATACTGTAAAAGGGAAAAGGTGTTCCAGAAGTCCAGGAGAGGGTGGGCTACAGCTCCCCAGGCTGGAGAAGATGCCTTTGTGGAGGAGATGGTCTGAAGCTGGCTGGGGAGACAGGGAGGGCTCCAGATGACAGGGATGGCACAGTGAGGAGATTTCAGGGAACAGCAAAGGTCAGGGACACATGGATGCCAGGCCCGGGACCAGCAAGCCGCCCGTTCGGCTGGATCGTCAAGTGGTGAGCAAGATCAGCGGTGGATACAGCTAAGGAGAGAGTCAAACAAAAGAAGCTGACACACCCACGTAGGGGCAAGGTGACGGTGGAAACAGCATGTGGTGTGCGGTGGATCCCAGGTGTTCACTCTTTCTCTTGCCATGAAAACATGTGCAGAGGCTCTCCTTGAAGCAGAGACTCTCCTTGAAGTCTCTTCTGCCCGAGACCTCCAGAGGTCTCATGAGCTCCCAGCACCTTTGACAGACATATCTACACCTCACACATCCCACATGGAACCAGCAAAGCTGGGGAGGAGGCATGCCCAAGGTGGCACAGAATTGGTGGCAGGTGGCATCCCACGTTAGAGACCCCGGAGCACCCTAGTCCAGGCATAAGCACACAGTAGTGACCACAGCACATTCCTGCTCCTGAGAGGCTCAGGGAGTGGGGGAGCCCCAAGCCCAGTACCTTAAAACCAGGAAGGAGGGCTGGGCACGGTGCCTGTAATCCCAGCACTTTGGGAGGCCAAGGTGGGCGGATCACCTGAGGTTGGGAGTTCAAGACCAGCCTGACCAACATGGAGAAACCCATCTCTACTAAAAATACAGAAAATTAGCTGGGTGCAGTGGCACATGCCTGTAATCCCAGCTACTAGGGAGGCTGAGGCAGAAGAATCACTTAAACCCGGGAGGCAGAGGTTGCAGTGAGTCGAGATCACGCCATTGCACTCTAGCCTGGGCAACAAGAGCAAAACTCAGTCTCAAAAACAAAAACAAAAACCAGGAAGGAGGTGATCTGGTGGGTGGATGCTGCTTCATTCGTGCAGTGAACAAACCCAGAGGATAGATTGGCACTGGGGCTGCTGATGGGTCTCTTGGGATTGGGGTTGTGAACCAATTTGCTGGGGTCTGATTCCCTGGTTGGGAGCTGATGGAGCAGCTGCTGACCCTGCAGAGCTGAAGTCCGCCTGGGGGCCCTGCAGTGATAGCCACAAGACTGGCCCCCAAACATGGCATCTGCACAGAGCTTAAGGGATCCACAGAGCCAGGGCTGGGGAGAAATGTGTCTCCACAAGCAGAGGCCGCCTTAAGCTCTAAAATGTGATTCTTCACATGACTCAACTGTGACTCCGGCATCTGGGTGGGGCTCACAGCTCCTCCATTTCCATGCCCAGGGCTGCACCGTTCATAGACCAGCCCAGGGCCACGGTCAGGACCAGCCCAGCAGCCCAGCCACAGAGGAGCCAGCGAACCTCTCCTGGCGCCTGTGCTGGGGGCTTTGTGTTCCAGCATCAAGGATGGAGGAAGGGGAGAGGAGCCCCTTACTGTCCGAGGTGAGCAGTGTCAAGTGGCCTTGCCCTGAGGCTGGAGATGTCCCCAGCCCTGAGGTCCCAGGGGAAGTCCCTGGGCTGGGTTCACACCCACCCCCGCCCCGGTGCCACTCCACACCTCGATGCTGAGATTGGGTTGGGGGGTGGTTCTAGGCAGCCCCCTCCCGCTTCCCCACTGCTACAGTTCTCTCAGCCCCATGCTGGCCTCTGGTCAAGGGGATCTGCCAGGTCTCCCTAAGGGCCTTGGGGGCAACCTTTGGCTCAGGGTGCAGGAGGGGGTGAAGGCAAACGTCCCTTGCAGCCAGCCTCCAACGGCTTCTGGCCTCCAGCAGCCCCAGTCTGGCCAACCAGGCACTGACAGCCTGTCCTTTTGCTTCAAGTGACTTGTTGAGGTCTTGGGGGTGATAAATAACCCTCCTCTGGGGCCGGGCACGGTGGCTCACCCCTGTAATCCCAGCACTCTGGAAGACTGAGGAGGGAGGATTGCATGAGCCCAGGAGTTCAGGACCAGCCTAGGCAATGTAGCGAGACCCTGTCTCTACAAAAAATGTTCTCTCTATATCTATTTTAGATGGAGTCTCGCTCTGTCACCAGGCTGGAGTACAGTGGCACAACCTTGGCTCACTGCAATGTCCACCTCCTGGGTTCAAGCAATTCACATGCTTCAGCCTCCAGAGTAGCTGGGATTACAGGCACACACCACCACACCCAGCTGATTTTTTTAGTAGAGACGGGTTTTTACCATGTTGGCCAGGATGGTCTCGATCTCCTGACCTCGTGATCCACCCGCCTTGGCCTCCTAAAGTGCTGGGATTACAGGCATGAGCCACCATGCCCGACCTACAAAAAATAATTTTAAAAAATTACCGGGACATGGTGGCAGTGCTTGTAGTCCCAGCTACTCAGGAGGCTGAAGAGGACGGATGGCTTGAGCCCGGGAGTCTGAGGCTGCAATCAGCTTCTTCCTGGTGAAACTGGGTCGGGATGGGATCCTTGCCCAGCACACAGCCATGGCTTCTTTTTATTTTTATTTATTTATTTTTTTCAGATAGAGTCCTGCTCTGTCACCCATGCTGAAGTGCAGTTGTGCGATCTCTGCTCACGCAACCTCTGCCTCCTGGGTTCAAGCAATTCTCCTGCCTCAGCCTCCCGAGTAGCTGGGATTACAGGCGTGTGCCACTGCGCCCGGCTAATTTTTTTTTTTTTTTTTTTTAAGTAGAGATGAGGTTTCTCCGTGTTGGTCAGGCTGGTCTTGAATTCCTGACCTCAGGTGACCCACCCGCCTCAGTCTCCCAAAGTGTTGGGATTACAGGCGTGAGCCACAGTGTCCAGCCCAGCCATGGCTCCTTATTCTCCTTTTTAAAAAACCTCTGTTCCCGGCAGAACTGGGCACTTGCAGGGCTGCCTCTTTCCCCACAGAGAGAGACCAGCAGGCCTTTCCTGCAAGCCCTCAGATGGTCTCCCTGAGCTCCTGGGCACCCTCCTCCCTGTCCTGGGAGCCTGTTGGGCAGGGGACTGTCCTGTCCTTGGCAGCAGGGCTCAGTGCCATGTCCACACTCGGTGTGGGCTGTTGGTGGGGCTGAATGAAGGGGTGCTGGGATGTGAGGACTGGTTTCCGAGGGGAAGGGAAAGGGGAGCCATGTGGGCCAGCCCCTCTGGCTGGTGAGGAAGCCCCTTTACACAAGGTCCATGCTGCAGGCACATACAGACTGATCCAGACAGACACTGTTTCAAACGCTGGGGAAGCAGCCCTGCCTGTGCACTGCAGGAAAGCCAGGGTGGCCCTGACCCGGGGAGGCCGCAGCCACCCACACATAGGACCGGGAGAGAGTGGGTGTGTTCACTGAGCGCCACCCTGCCTGGTCTTCACCACAGCCTTTCAGGGTCTGCTCATCACCCTGTTCTAAAGGTGGGAGCCCACACACCAGTAGGCAGCAGAGTTGGGGCCCTCATGGTCTCTTCTGCTGCCCAGCCATGCAGGACGGCCCTGAGGGCCCCCTGCCCCTGGCTATCCACATCTCTGAGCTCCAGTTCTGCCCTCCGCCATCCGGCATCCTCCCATCCCTTGAAGGCTCTGCCACTGAGCTCTTCCCTGACCCCTCACCAGTTGTCACAGAGTCTGGGTGACTGCGGCCTCACCCTGTTACTCTTCCCTCTGCAGGAAACTGCAGGCCAGAAGACCCTCTCTGTGCACAGTCCACCCACCGCAGGCTGTCTAGATCCAGTGCCCTGGGAGGACCAGGCGGACGCCTGGGGCTGCAGCTGCTGTCCCCCGGAGACCAAGCGCCAGGCCTTGAGGGGCACCCCCGGGAAAGGACCAGCCCCTTCCCTGTCCACAGGGAGCAGCTGTATCAAGTATCTGATCTTCTTCTCCAACTTCCTCTTCTCCCTGCTGGGGCTGCTGGCCCTGGCCATTGGGCTCTGGGGCCTGGCTGTCAAGGGGTCTCTGGGAAGTGATCTGGGGGGGCCCCTGCCCGCAGACCCCATGCTGGGGCTGGCACTGGGGGGGCTGGTAGTCAGCACAGTGAGCCTGGCTGGCTGCCTGGGCGCCCTCTGTGAGAACACCTGCCTGTTACGTGGCTTCTCCGGGGGCATCCTTGCCTTCCTGGTGCTTGAGGCCCTGGCGGGGGCCCTGGTGGTGGCCCTCTGGGGCCCGCTGCAAGACAGCCTGGAGCACACCCTGCGTGTAGCCATCGTTCACTACCAGGACGACGCAGACCTGCGCTTCCTTCTCGACCAAGTCCAGCTCGGGCTGAAGTGCTGCGGGGCTGCCTCCTACCAGGACTGGCAGCAGAACCTGTGAGTCTTGGAGTGGGCGAGGGACAGGCCTGCCACAGGATCCCAGAGGCCACACACCCTCGTGTGTGTACGCACAGTCACTCACATGTACACACTCAATTCGTGCATGCCCACATGCATGCACACGCATACCTACATGTACCCACATATCCACACTGACACGTCTCGTGCTCACAGGTTTCACACGTGTGGACACACACCTACACACTCCTCTACACTGACATGAACATGTTCTCATGTGCACACACAAAACAGCCTCACACTCAGGCACACACTCAAACTGAAACATGTTCATACACACACATGTCATGCGCACAAGGTACAGGGGTGCTTGCCTCTCCTTGTTCCTTGGGCTCAGGGCCCCAATCAGCCCTGCGGCCCCCACAGCCTCCAGTGTGTTTCTGTTCCCCTGCCAGGGCCAGGAAGACTACCCAGGATCTTAGTGGAGAAGCTGAACCCGCAGACTTAGAAAGTCATTTTTCTGCTGGGCACGATGGCTCACACCTGTAATCCCAGCACTTTGGGAGGCCAAGGCAGGCGGATCACCTGAGGTCAGGAGTTCAAGACCAGCCTGGCCAACATGGTGAAGCCCCCTCTCTACTAAAAACACAAAAATTAGCCAGGAGTGGTGGCAGGCACCTGTAATCCCAGCTACTCAGGAGGCTGAGGCAGGAGAATCACTTGAACCCAGGAGGTGGTGGTTGCAGCCAAAACCGCACCACTGCACTCCAGCATAGGCGACAGAGCGATTCTCCATCTCAAAAAAAAAAAAAAAAGGCCGGGCATGGTGACTCACACCTATAATCTCAGCACTTTGGGAGGCTGAGGCGGGCGGATCACGAGGTCAGGAGATTGGGACCATCCTGGCTAACACGGTGAAACCCCATCTCTACTAAAAAATATAAAAATTAGCTGGGCGTGGTGGTGGGTGCCTGTAGTCCTAGCTACTCGGGAGGCTGAGGCAGGAGAATGGCGTGAACCTGGGAGGCGGAGCTCGCAGTGAGCCAAGATCATGCCACTGCACTCCAGCCTGGGTGACAAAGCTAGACTCCGTCTCGAAAAAAAAAAAGAAAGAAAGAAAATGACTCTTAGATGAATTCCGGACATTATTCTGGAATCTGACTCCACAGTTTCCCTCCACTGTGAGTGTGATTAAACACTGTCCATTTAGGATCCAGTGCAGGATTTTCTTATGTTCTGCTTGAGAGTAGCTGTCTGTTTTTGTTTTTGTTTTTGTTTTTTGATGGAGTCTCGCTCTGTTGTCCAGGCTGGAGTGCAGTGGCTCGATCTCGGCTCACTGCAGGGAGGGTAGCTGTCTGTTTCATTAGCTATCCTCAGCGCATGCACACCCTGAGCAGCACGTACTCTCCATGCCACACCCAGGACAGAGGATATGCACTCTGTCCCCCAGGCCTTCTTGGTGCAGGTATCAGGGGCAGCTGAACACAACAGATGAAGTCATAGGCGACCCTGAAAACTGGCCATTGGGACCTAGCAGTGGCTAACAGGTGGGGTCCTTCCAGACTCTGCGAAGCACCACATAGGTTGCTTTTTGGCCACATGTGACTGGGTTGGTGGCAGCCCCCCTAGAGTGTCGTGATGCCACCTCTGCTGCTGGCCTCGACCCCCTCCCCTGCCTAAGTGGAAAACACTCTTCTAGAGTGGAGAGGGCATGAGGATGAGCCTGCGGGTCTGCTGGGCCTGCGTGCAGAGCCCCGGACACCAGTGGATGCCTAGGGCACCTGGGGACTGCCTGACCTGGGCTGTGATGAGATCAACACTCCCCAGCCACCCTGGGAGCTCCTCCCCTGCCCCTGCGTTCTGTCACTGCCGGGTACTGCCTCTCAAGCCCTTGCTCTTCCCAGTAAGACCTGTGGACCATTCCAGAAGCCTCTGCCAGAGTTTCATCCACCCTCCCCCGCTCCAACTCTACCTTCTCAATGAACTCAGCAGCCTCTGCGGAGGGAGGTCCTCTCATCAATGCTTGTCTGTTTCCCCTTCAACCGTCTCATTAAATATCCTCCTGCTAGTCAACACAGCCACCACCCCTACCTGCAAGTGCAGAGGACTGCCATGCACAGGGATACCCTATAGAGAGCCAGGTGCTGTGTGTGTCCGTGTGTGCAGGCGCGTGTGCGAATATGCGGATGTATGCACGTGTGTGCATGTGCCTGTGTGGCCATGGAAGGGTGAAGGTGGGTAGGCAACATTCGCTTCTGTGCCTGGTCCCAGAAGAGCGGGCCCTCCCCGCCAGAACTGACGCCTCCGTGCCCTTTGCAGGTACTTTAACTGCAGCTCCCCCGGGGTGCAGGCCTGCAGCCTTCCTGCCTCCTGCTGCATCGACCCCCGAGAAGATGGAGCCTCTGTCAACGACCAGTGCGGCTTCGGGGTCCTGGGCCTGGATGCGGACGCAGCTCAGAGAGTGGTGCACCTGGAGGGCTGCGGCCCGCCGCTCCGGCGGTGGCTGCGCGCAAACCTGGCGGCCTCGGGCGGCTACGCAATCGCGGTGGTGCTGCTGCAGGGCGCAGAGCTCCTGCTGGTCGCCCGGCTGCTCCGGGTACTCGCTGCCCGCAGGGGCGCGGCGTCGGGCCCCGGAGCGCGCGGGGAGGACCGCGCTGGCCCCCAGAGCCCCGGCCCCGGCGCCCCGCCGGCTGCCGACCCCGCCCGGGGCTGAGCGCATGCCCTGGAGTCCGAGGCTGCCACGCACAGGGATACAGGGGGCACCCCCGTCCGGCTAAAACGCGCTGCCTGCGCCGCCGCTGCCGTCTGATTTCGCTCGGGCTTCCGGAGACTTCGCCGTGGGACCTCCCTAGCTTGCCCACGCCGCGCGCTTTGCGTCCCCCACGCCAGCTCCCAACGGAGGGCGCCCGGCAAACCCACGGGGTTGGCGTGAGGAGCACGAGGGGCCGGAGGAAATCCTGGAGCTGACCCTCATCTCCGAACCCCCACTCCCACCCCAGCCGCACAGTTCCCACCTCCTGGCACCTCCCTCCCCTGGGGCCTCCACCCCTTCTGGGCTCGTGGTGGTGGAGCTAAGGTCCAGGCCTCTCCCTGCCGAGTGCATTTTTGAGGAGAGAGTAAATGTTTTATTGGGGTGTATCATTCACACAGTAAAGACACCAGTCTTCGAGGCAGCGTGGGGAATTCTTACCCATCTAAGCCTGTGAATCCACCACAGGTCGGAGCAGGGAGTTCCAGCCCCTGCCGGCGCGCTCAACCGCAAGTCAGCCCTGCTCTGACTTCATTGCCAGGGCCAGCGGGGCCTGTTTTGGGCTTTCACCGTAAGTGGAATCCCAGAGGGTCTGTCCAGAGTCAGATCTGGCCCTTTCCGTGAATGGACTGGTCCATATGAACAGGGGGCTACTGTGAGGGTGCCTGCTGCTGGGCCAGCTTGCAGAGCTCTTGCTTCCCCTGGATGTGGTGTCAGGAGTGGGATCTTGGTCACAAATGGGCATGTTTTGTTTTTGTTGTTTTGTTTTGAGACAGGGTCTCACTCTGTCACCTAGGCTGAAGTGCAGTGGTAGGGTCTCAGCTCACTGCAGCCTCTGCCTCCTTAGCTCAAGCAATCCTCCCACTTTAGCCTCCTGAGTAGCTAGAACTACAGGTGCCTGCCACCACGCCCAAATTTTTTTTTTTTTTTGAGATGGAGTTTTGCTCTTGTTGCCCAGGCTGAAGTGCAATGGTGTGATCTTGGCTCACCACACCCTCTGCCTCCTGGTTCAAGCGATTCTCCTGCCTTAGCTTCCCAAGTAGCTGGGATTACAGGCATGAGCCACCATGCCTGGCTAATTTGTATTTTTAGTAGAGATGGTTCCTCCATGTTGGTCAGGCTGGTCTTGAACTCCTGAGCTCAAATGATCTGCCCACTTTGGCCTCCCAAAGTGCTGGGATTACAGGTGTGAGCCACAGTGCCCAGCCTCAGTATTGTTATTTTCAAATACAGACAGGGTCTTGCTATGTTGCCCAGGCTGGTCTTGAACTCCTGGGCTGCAGTGATCCTCCCACCTTGGTCTCCTAAAGTGCTGAGATTATAGGCATGAGCCACTATGCCCAGCTACAGCCAGTTTTAGTGGGCGCTGTCTAAGGACAAGCTGGCTGGGTGCTCTGGGGGAGTTGCTAGTGTCACTGTGCCTCAGTTTCTCTCTTGTGAGGTGGGAGTAGGAGCTCTAGCCTCACGGCATGTGGCATGAGCCATGTCCCATCTCACCTTCTCTGTGAGGCCTGCTCCAGCCACGTGCATGCTTCATTGACTGTGGCCCCTGGGTGTGCACCAAGGCCTTCTGCCTTGACCCAGCCATGGCCTGACATTGCGTGTCTCAGGGCCACCAGCAACGCTCAGTGAGGGTGTGAGCCCAAGGGCTGTCTTCCCGCTCAGTCAGGCCAGCCTCTCCTGCCCCACAGCCCACTGCCCACCCCTTCACCCATGTGCTCCTGCCCAAGCGACCCCACCACAGGCCCTGTCCCATGCACAAATATGCCACAGACAGGCGAGGGCACGCTAATTTTATTTTGAAATAGGGACTGCAAGGGTGGGCTGTATTGAGAAGGATGGCCCCCTGGTGTGATGAGTGTGGAGCCTCATCTGCTCACTGTACACGCTTGGAGACCTGCTACCCAGCGTTTCCAAACCAAGGGCACCCGCCTGGGAAAGGATGCAGAGAGGGGGAGCTTCTCTGCACCCCCATAGAGGCAGGACGGGGCTGGGGTGCAGAGGCACTCTGGGGAGACCCTGCCCTGGCTTTCCAGCTGGGAGGAGGGGATGACCTGGGGTCCAGCAGGCTCCCGGGCTGGGGTCCACTTCCCGTTCTCCCTGGGAGGGGAGACTCGCCAAGCCTCTCTGCGGGCAGGACTGAGGGGTGGGCCCAGTGTTGAGCAGGGCCTGGCCAGCCCCTGAGGGGGCGTCCTGGAGGGAGGTGGTGGGCTCCTGGTGACTGGTATTAATATGTAGGGGGGGACCTGAGGTCACAATCCCACACTGGTGTCCAGGTGCCATCTGGGCTAGGGAGACTTCTCAACAGGAATCCTGAGCAGGGTTTAGAGCAGAGAGGGCAGGAGGGGGAGGGTCTGGACCTCAGCAGGGCCTGGTGCTAGATGATGCCATATTGGGCCAGCTCGTGCAGCTCCAGGTGGTTGAAGGCCTCCCAAGGGCAGATGACCGTGATGTCTGTGGGAGAAAGGGGCCTGGATCAGAGAGGATCCCATGGCCCAGGGACCCCCACCCCTGTGGCCCTGTTTCCCACAGCCCAGGTGTAGCCCTACAGTGTGCTGAGTGGGGGCGTGCAGACCCTGGCGTGGGGCCCTCCTCTGGGGACACACTGGCTGTAGGGGAAGGAGGGTGCGGCAGGTCCAGGGGAGGGAACCAGAGGAGGGTGGGGCTTGCTGAAGGGGTGGAGGCAGCAAGGGGTTCTGTTCTTTCCCAGACCCCTCCCCTCACCTGGTGCAAGTGTCCCAAATGGGAACAGCCTCACCTTCCAGATCCAGTGGATCTGGTGCTCAGTGTTGGGGGAAGAAGTGATGGACAGGCTGGGGGTCTCTAAGTGAAAAGCAGGGGAGGTGGGGGCTGAAGTGGGCTGCACTGGGCCCTGGGCGTGCTCAGTGTGCCTGGGGGGACCTGGGCAGACCTCAGGTTGGCACTGGCAGCCGTCGTACCTGTTCCCAGGCCTTCCATTCCAGGGATGTCATCCCCAAACCTGCAAGGACAGAGCAGTCAGGGACATGGCGGGGCCCAGCCCTGGCTCAGTCAGCCTGAGGCCTGAGGTCATCTCTAGCCTTCCTAGGAGATGAGGCGTTTGTCTGGGAGCCCAGTGGGCAGAGACCCGCCTCCTCCCCAACCTCCTGAGGCTTGGTGGGCCTGAGGGGGCGTCCTTCACAGACCCACGGTGAGTCTGCTACCCCGAGCATCATGGGGCTGAGGCCCAGAAAAGGAGGTGCAAGCCCCAGGGTGCTGGGCAGGTGCGTGCCCTGAGGGAGTACAGAGGGGGTGCGTGGTTAGTGTATGGTTTGAGTGTAGATTTGTGAAGGTGGCTTGTCTGTGAGTGTGCCTCACGTGTGCACATGTGGTGGTATGAGCATGTTTGTGCACACGTAAGAGTGTCATGTCTGTGTGTGCACACACGTGTAAGTGGACACTCCTCAGTGCATTGTGCCGTGGCTGTCCCTGGGTGGCAGTGGCTGTATTTTTTTTTTTTTTTTTTTGAGACAGAGTCTCACTCTGCCGCCCAGGCTGGAGTGCAGTGGTGTGATCTCAGCTCACTGCAAGCTCCACCTCCTGGGTTCACACCATTCTCCTTCCTCAGCCTACCGAATAGCTGGGACTACAGGCGCCCGCCACCAGGCCCGGCTAATTTTTTGTATTTTTTAGTAGAGATGGCGTTTCACCGTGTTAGCCAGGATGGTCTCGATCTCCTGACCTCGTGATCTGCCCACCTCAGCCTCCCAAAGTGCTGGGATTACAGGCGTGAGCCACTGCGCCTGGTGGTTTTGTTTTTTTGAGACGGAGTTTTGTTCTTTTTGCCCAGGCTGGAGTGCAATGGTGTGATCTCAGCTCACCGCAACCTCTGCCTCCCGGATTCAAGCAATTCTCCTGCCTCAGCCTCCCGAGTAGCTGGGATTACAGGCGTGCACCACCACACCTGGCTAAATTTGCATTTTTAGTAGAGACAGGGTTTCACCATGTTTGTCAAGCTGGTCTCAAACTTGCGACCTCAGGTGATCTGCCCGCCTGAGCCTCCCAAAGTGCTGGGATTACACATATGAGCCACGGCGCCTGGCCGGCAGTGGCTATATTTTCAAGCATGGTTGGCAGTAGCATCTGGAGCAGATGACAGGAGCCCCCAGTTCCCCTTCCCCCTCCTCCATCCCTGCTCAGGCCCTCAGGCACCGCCCTACCTACCCCAGCTGTGAGGCTGGGATCACTCACCCAGTAAAGTGGCCCAAGGCCCTGCCGTGCCTCCCCTTCCTGTGCAGCTTTCAGAGGCCCCATCCCCCAACTCTGCTTACCCTTGGACGCCTTTCTTTGGGGGCTTGCTCTTGAACTGCCTGGTTTGTCGCTGCTTAAATTTAGGGGGTCCTTTCCTGGGGGTGACAGGTCCCCCGACCACCCTGGTGGCTGACCGGAACTCAGCCTTGGGCGGCTCCAGGTTCATGGCGAGGCTGATGGAGACACCGTGGCAACCCTGGCTCCTGGACTCCCTCCTGCTGCAATCTGGGGACAGACCGGGCCCGGGTGTCAGTCAGCCCTCCTGCTTCCAACCCTTGTGGGGGTCTCAACCCACCGGTGGAGGGGCTGAGACCCAGCCCCGCCAGCCCCACCGTCATCCAGACGACAGCCCCTGCAATCTGCCCTGGGGCAGCTAGCCTGCCAGCCCTGCTCAGGCCGCCCACCGCCCACTGGCGCACTCCTATTCCCCTTGCCTAGTGGATGCCCCCCAGCAACGCTGGCCACACACAGCTCCGGCCTCTCCCCTGCATCCTGGCCTCCCTCGACCCACCTCACAATCCACAGCAAACCTAGCCTCCCAGCCTGGGGCAGGTCCTGAGCCTGGAGTCCTCACCACCTCCCTGTGGGTGAGCACTGACAACCTCCTGCCCCTTCCCCCACATTCCCCACCCCAGGGGAGCGTGACTGGGGAGCATTCAACTGTTATTCTTTGTTTGTTTGTTTGTTTGTTTGTTTGTTTTTTGAGACGGAGTCTGGCTCTGTCGCCCAGGGTGGAGTGCAGTGGCCGGATCTCAGCTCACTGCAAGCTCCGCCTCCCGGGTTTACGCCATTCTCCTGCCTCAGCCTCCCGAGTAGCTGGGACTACAGGCGCCGCCACCACGCCCGGCTAGTTTTTTTTTTTTGTATTTTTTAGTAGAGACGGGGTTTCACCGTGTTAGCCAGGATGGTCTCGATCTCCTGACCTCGTGATCCGCCCGTCTCGGCCTCCCAAAGTGCTGGGATTACAGGCTTGAGCCACCGCGCCCGGCCGTTTGTTTGTTTTTTAAGACAGAGTTTTGCTCTTGTCGCCTGGGCTGGAGTGCAGTGGCACGATCTTGGCTCACTACAACCTCCGCCTCCCGGGTTGAAGTGATTCTCCTGCCTTAGCCTCCCGAGCAGTTGGGATTACAGGTGCCTGCCACCACGCCTGGCTAATTTTTGCATTTTTGCATTTTTAGTAGAGACGGGGTTTCACCATGTTGACCAGGGTGGTCTCAAACTCCTGACCTCGTGATCCACCCGCCTCAGCCTTCCAAAGTGCTGGTATTACAGGCGTGAGCCACCGCACCTGGCCCAGCTGCTACTCTGTTGAAAGTCCTCTGGGGCTCCTGCTGGGACTGGGATGAGACCCAAGTAGCCCCTCCCCTGCCTGCCCGGCCCTGCAGATGAGCCTCGAATGGCCCTTCCTGATGGTTAGTGGGGTGGGCTCCCTCCATCTCAGGTCCCCGCTCAGGGAGGCCTCCCCTGAACTGCCACCCGCAACCCCTGTGTCCTCAGGTTCTGATTTGCTTCTTCTCATCACGCGTCGTGTTAGCCCTCATTCTGGGCTGGTGGGCGTCTCCCCGGGCCGTTGCCCTCTGATTCTTATTGATGGGTTTATTGCTTTCTGCCTCTTGTCTGCGCTTTGCGGTTGGGGTGCTGTCAGTTCCCTTCACCCACTCATGGAGGGATCCCTGAGCCCCTCGGCACCATGACAGGCACTCCGCAGTGCTGATGGAAAATCACCCACAAAATGGGGGGCAGGGTTGCCGGGCAGGGTGACCCTGGGAAAGGGGCCTGTCTCAGAGACTCGGGGCTGAAGTCCTGTGTCTCCCAACCCCACTTCACAGAGGCACAAGCTGAGGCTCAGGGAGGGAGGGTGCTGGGCGTCTGTCTCCCCTCCTGGGGAATCCCCAGGCCCTCTGTTCCTGGAGCCAGCTTGGGGAGCAGGGTCACCTGCCTGGCACGGTGTGGCTGAGTGGCCTCGGCTGCTCTGGACAAGGCCAGTGTCCTTGCACCACTGCACAGGGTGACCTCTCCTCCTCCTCTCCCTAGAGCCTCTCCCCAGATGCCCTAAGCCCCAGTGACCTGGGCCAAGGGCAGTTCAGCTTCCCCTAAGCCTATTAACAGCAGAGGGGGATTCCTAATCTCCCGGCGAGCTGCTGCCAGACGCACATGCTGCCAGAAGGTTCTGGAAGGAGGCACATGACAGACAGGAGGGGCTGCTTGCCCGCACTCGATGCCCCAGGGACCACCTCTTAGGGTCCCCTTTCCTGCCCCTGGTCTTTTTCGCTGGGATTCCTGACTACAGCCCTGGGCTACCACCAGTTGTTTGCCAAGCTTCAGGCATGGGAGCAACCAGAAAGCAAGGGCAGGTGGCCCATTCCGGGGAGGAGGGCTCTGCAAGGGGTGCTGGGCACCTGAGATTGGGGTAGACCCTGCTATGGCGCCTTCCCTCAGTAAGGTTCAGCCTCTGTCCCCGGGACCGGGACCAGCACCAGCCTGCGTAAAACCAAGACTCAGGAGCCTGGTGGTCCCAGCTGCTCAGATCCCACGGCACCCAATCCTCATATCCTAGACAGCACAGGCCCCATGCAGCTGCTTCCCCAGGCCCAGGACATGGGCTGTCCTGGGCAGCTCTCGGCGCTGATGGAGCTCCAACCATCAGATGCCATCCATGTGGAAACCACTGCCTGCACTGCCTGGGCCCGCCCCAGCCTGTGACTGGCATCCACTCAGGTCAGCTGAGCCCATGTGGCCTGAGGTTCCCAGACCATCACTGGCCTGGGGATGGCAGCAGCACTGGTTACCATGGGGGAGCAGAGGAGGCGGTTGGCTGGGAGTCCTCTCTGAATAACAGGGTGGTGGGTAGGCTTCTGCAGAGCCGGACCTCAGCCATGGTGGTAAAAGCCTGTCAGCTCCCTGCCCTGTGGGCGATGGGCAGACCCCCACTGACTTCCTGGGGGAGGTGGCTGCGAGGAAAGACAGCGAGGTTGGCCACTACTCACCAAATGCAGGGCAGGTCTCAGGGGTCCATGCTATGAGTGCCGGGCCTTCCTCCGCAGGGTGCCAGCCCCGGGCATTTATCTTGCTGCTTCGTGAGCTGATTAGGCGTCTCAGTGTCACGCTAATGAGATTGTTGGGCCCCAAGGGGGGACACAACCACCAAAGTTTCTGGGGATGGGGAGGAGGGGCTCAGGTGCCGTCAAGGGCTCCAAGGAAGGGCACCCAGCAGATGGGGCCGGGACAGGGCGAGAAGTATGACCCTGAACAGCCAGGCTCCTGCAGCTGCCCATCTTCCAGATGGAAGCACCCACAGTGGCCGCTGTCTGGGGCCTCCTCACTGCCTTTCCTGACCCTGCCTGACCTCTGAAGAGCCCACCTTCGTGGTCCCCAAAGCCCTCTGCAGCCTGGCCCTCACCCACTGCTGTGGCCTCACATCTCGCCCCTCCCACCCCAAGGCCTTTGCACCTGCTGCTCCTGAAACCAAACAAGGACCCCTCTTAGGGGCCTGTGGGTCTCCCCCAGCACAGAAGCAAGGACAATGTTGAGTTCCTTCAAGGGCAATCCAGGCCCCCAGCCATCCCTGAGAAGCAAATGAGCAGCCAATCCTCAGGAAGGCCACGGGAGCTTCAGACAACAGATGGAAGCCAGAGTCCCGAGAGTCTCCATGGACGCGAACCACGCCATCTTAGCGGGTGCCCCTTAGTTGTTTTCCAGAGTCTCCATGGACGCGAACCATGCCATCTTAGCGGGTGCCCCTTAGTTGTTTTCCAGAAACTGGGACTCCCACCAAAGGGGTGTGCTGGCACACAGACCTCAGATGAGCAGGAGCTGAGGACTGGCCTCTGACAGCCCTTCTCTTACCTACATTTCTTCCTGAGGGGCCTGGAAGAGGCCATGCCCAAAACCCAGAGCTAACATTCTTTCCTGCGGATCCCAAAGTTTTAGACAAAGCTTTGCCTCCACACCAAATCAGAAAACTTTGAATCCACCTATGACTCGTGGGCCCCAACTTCAAGATCTCCTTGCTATTTATGCCAAAACCAGTGTACAGCCTCTGTGTACTGATTCATGACTTTGCCTGTGACCTCTGCCTCTGCACCTTTAAAAACCCGTAACTCAGGCTGGCCACGGTGGCTCATGCCTGTAATCCCAGCATTTTGGGAGGCTGAGGTGGGCGGATCACGAGGTCAGAAGATCTAGACCATCCTGGCTAACATGGTAAAACCCTGACTCTACTAGAAACACAAAAAAATTAGCCAGGTGTGGTGGCGGGCACCTGTAGTCCCAGCTACTCGGGAGGCTGAGGCAGGAGAATGGCGTGAACCTGGGAGGCAGAGTTTGCAGTGAGCTGAGATCATGCCACTGCACTCAAGTCTGGGTGACAGAGTGAAACTCCATCTCAAAATAAATAAATAAATAAATAAATAAATAAAAACCCATAACTCGGCCGGGAGCAGTGGCTCTCAAACAGCGCTTTGGGAGGCTGAGATGGGAGGATCACTTGAGGCCAGGAGTTCAGGACCAGCCTGGACAACATAGTGAGATCCCTATCTCTACAAAAAATAGAAAAATTAGCTGGGTGCAGTGACTCACTTCCTATTTAATTTATTTATATTATTTTTGAGACAGTCTCGCTCTGTTGCCCAGGCTGGAGTGCAGCAGTATGATCTCGGCTCGCTGCAACCTCCACCTCCTGGGTTCAAGCAATTCTCCTGCCTCAGCCTCCTGAGTAGTTGGGATTACAGGTGGGTGCCACCACACCTGGTTAATTTTTTATATTTTTAGTAGAGACGGGGTTTCACCATGTTAGCCAGGATGGTTTCAATCTTCTGACTTCGTGATCTGCCTGCCTCGGCCTCCCAAAGTGCTGGGATTACAGATGTGAGCCACCGTGCCCGGCCACAGTGGCTCACTTCTATAGACCCAGCTACTTGGGAGGCTGAGGCAGGAGGATCCCTTGAGCCTAGGAGCTTGAGGCTGCAGTGAGCCATGGTCAAACCACTCCAGCCTGGGGGACAGAGCAAGACTCCATCTCTGAAGAAATACGAAAATTTTGAAAAATTAAAAACAAAACCTGGCCGGGCACAGTGGCTCACGCCTGTAACCCCAGCACTTTGGGAGGCCGAGGCAGGCGGATTACTTGAGATCAGGAGTTCAAGACCAGCCTGTCCAACATGGTGAAACCCCATCTCTACTAAAAATACAAAAATTAGCTGGGCGTGGTGGCGTGT